CTGTGACGGTCCTGACGGTGTAATCACACTCGGTGCCAAAGCAACCTGGGAGGAGGCCAGGGGCACAGTGGCCAAGGCCAGGCCCCAGACCCGACAGAGCCCGGGTCTCGATGCTGCTGTAGCTCTTCCCGGTGCAGGCAGGTGACCCCTTCCACCAGCAGACGCCCCAGCACTGCTGTGTGCGATTCCTGGGGCATCAGTAACACCGTGCCACGGCCCCACGGGCTTGGCCATGGAAACCTGTTCTCGCCCCTTCCTGCAGTGTGGATGTGTGGGGTCATAATGCCGGCAGGGCTACTCCTTCTGAGGTTTTGTGGGATTTGCTGGGGACCCTTGGCCGGTAGACGTGTTCCCCCGGTCTCTGCCCTGATCTTCACCCAGCCTTCGCTCTGTGTGTGTCCCCGCCTGTCCCTATTCCCCCTTCCTGCGAGGACAGCAGTCCTGTTGGACCGGGGACACCTACTCTGACACAACCTTCTCTCAACTCGTTATGTCCCCAATGACACTGCTTCCAAATACAGCCACATGCCAGGGTCCCAGAGGTCGGGTCTCCAACATGTGAATTTGGGGGACATGTTTCAGCCCGTAACAAAGACCTCATGTGATCGAAGGGAGAGTTTAACGACATCACGGCTGGATTCACCAAGCCCGTGAGACACACGGCCATTGCGCGTTCCCCTTAGCTGGTACATTGAAGGAATTCCCGTCTGAACTGTGGTGTTCATTGGTTCTGCCAGAAATCACAAGTCTGTTAAAAGTGTGTCACTTAAATACCATTTACCAGGCAGAGAAAACCACGTGTCGGGTGACGAAGTGGGGGCAGGGTGGTCTTGGAGTTTACAGGAAGTGGGTGTTGGACTTACTCCTGCGACGGGACGCCTGGGCAGGAGGAGCACAGCCGTCCCGTCCCAGAGCCGCTGCTCCCAGGGGCTCAGAGAGGGGCCAGGCTGTGGCCGGCCGTGGCTGGGGACACCTCGGAACGTGATGGTGACCTCCTGGCGGTGACAGCTGACCACCAGGGTTCTGGGTTTACGTGCAGCAACCTTGCTGCTGCAGAGGGGCGGGGGGACGGGGCCGTGGCGAGGGCACCACCGAGCTCCGTGGCGTGTCGCGGTAGACGCAGGGTGGTGGGCTGTGGGCCGGCCCTGGGCAGACGGGGCCAGCACTGGCGTCACAGTTTATGCCGCTGGGAAGGCTGAGCAAGACTCCGAGCTCGAGTCCTTGGAGCTGCTGGTCAGGAGGCGGGAGGACAGTGCAGACCCACGTCCCGAAGAGACGCCCAGATCCACTCCAAGGCCCCACCATGTGGCCGGTTCTGCCGTAAAGGTCCAGCTTTGCGTCAATCAAGTTCCCTATTTGCAGGAGTCTGCGCGGGGGGCGGGGCCGCTGACGAGCCTGTTTTATCCGGGGGGACCTCTACTCCCCCAGACATCTGGGGACAATTTCGGCCCCTAACGGGAGTATCCCTGGCAACCCACTGCCACTACCAAGCCCCCGCCCCGAGTCTCCAGCCGCCGGCCGCGGACGCCCCGAGGTGTGCGGGCTCTTCCACCTTCACTGCTGAAGGCATCAGAGCCAGAAGTCGGAGCTTTGTACAAAGTCGCTCCGGGGCTGCAGGGCTTCGGGGCACCTGCACTGGCTTCTGGAACTCACCAGCCTCGCCATAGGGGAGGAGACGGCCTCTGGGCTTTGGGGGGAGGACTTACCACCTGCAAACCACCGTCCAGGTGAGACCTGCCAGGCCGCCAACCAGCAGGGCGCCCAAGGCGATGGAGACCCAGGACGCCTTCGGGAGCCTCCCAGAGTCTGGGGAGAGGGAGGGGTTAGCGAGCCCCCCTGCCCAGGGCTGCGGCCAGCCTGGTCCCGAGGGGCTTGCTTCTGCCCGCGACTACCCGGGGAAGCCATTTCTCAGATGAGCGCTCATGGGTGCGAGGAGTCAGGAGACCTGCCGGGAAGCATAGCCCACGCCCAGCCGCACAAGACGGTGGCGGGACACGCGTGGTCACGGGCATAATGCCGCTGGGAGGACGACCCTGCGGCCACCCGTAAGGTGTACGGCCGACCTGCCCTCCCCTCCCGCGGAGGACGCACGAGGAGGGAACTCTTACCTACGCACGTCGTCCCGTCCTCCGCCAGCACGTAGGGGTCTGTGCACTCACAGCTGAAGCCGCCCTTGGTGTTCCTGCACCGGGCCGATGGGTGGCAGGGAGGGGCTGTCACGTCTTCACATTCATTGACATCTGCACAGACCACATGGAGGTCAGGCCGTGTCCCTGTCCTCCCCGTCCCCCGCTGCGGCCCTCACCCTGGAGGCTCCTGTCCACTCCCTGCTCCACGGCAAGAGAATCGAGAACCCCCAGTACCCTGGCAGCCATGTCCCTCTTGGGCCACGTCCGTCCCGGAGCACCCGCTTTCTTGCCGTCAGTGGGTGCTCTCTGAGGTCAGCTCGGCCCACAGCCGCGCTGTGACCATGCTGCATGGTGTGGCCGGGTCCTGTGGGGACACCCGCCCGCACTGAAGCCGGTCCCGTCCCACCCGGGCTGCGGCTCACGTCCGTTCAAGCTCTGTGCCAAGTGCTCCTGCGCGAGCGGAGGTGACTGGGGCGTGGGCGGGTTGTGTCGTGAGGCCCCGGCAGCTCACGGCGAGCTGGGCACACTGGGCAGCTGGGCCTCGTTCCACGTGGGGCCAGAGCCTCTCCGGGAGGCATCCTCCCCCTCGAGTGGGATGTGGCCTGGTGTGGGACAGGGCTGGGTGGGAGGGGGTGGCCAGGGCAGGGCTGGGTCTGTGCGTCCACACGGACTCTTCCAACTGGACAGCTCACCCTCAGAGGGCGTGTGAGGCCTCAGGCCATGATCCCACGACCCTTGGCCCTGGCCCACAGGAGAGCACAGGCTGCCCAGTGTGGAGTTGGAGCTGAGGCTCCCAGGCCCGGTGAGCCGGTGCCCATGGGTGGGCCGCCAGTGAGGAAGGGGTGCTGCCCTCACGTCTCCTTCTGCCTGAAGCCTGGGACCCTTTGCTGGATTCCTGAGGCATTTCCTGGTGACTCACTGAGTCCATTTTCCTTCAGATAAAACGTTTCTTTTCTGGGCAATTCCAGGAAACACAGGAGGTCTTAGTGTCAACAGACATATTTTTCGGGTCCCTGAGCATATGTTGGATGACACGACCATCACACACTCTTGGGCCATCCTGTGTCCGAGGAATGACGCGAAGTCACAGAGACCGTGGGTTTGGGAGGCAGACTGGGAAGCCGCTGAGGTGGTCCAGGCCAGGCGCGCGGGATCACGGACCGGGTCACGGCCAGCGGGGAATGAGGTCCAGCAAGAGTGGGTCAGCCTTCCCAGGCCTTCCCAGGCCCGACCCGCCCAACCAGGTCTTGGTAGCCGTGCAGGTCCTGACTTGGGCGTGCTAGGGAACCCAGAGCTGCTTCTCTGTTGCCAGAACCCCTATAAGCCAGGAACCGTGCCCACGTGGCAGGCTGCGCCCCAGCCATCCGCCAGCGTCACCCCGTCACCCCAGGAGCAGCCGTGAGGCTCAGAAGGCTCACGGCTAGCGGTCAGTATGAGCCAGGCATGTGCCAGGCACCTGGTCTTTTGTGGCCCACTTGGTGGGGGAGTGGTTGTTGGTTTGCGGGGTAAGGAAGAAGAACGGCGTGATGGGTCGGCTGAGAAGGGACGTGAGGAATCGAGCTCTGGGGTCACAAATACTGAGAACAGCCTTAATCAACATGTCGAATGGGTTTAGGCAAAAAGGGTGTGAGGCACACAGCATGCGGGGTTCTGCGTGGTGAACTTTCCGGAAGGCGAATCTGCTGAGAGCTCTCTGGCAGGTCTCCCTGTCCTCATGGCTGACGAGGCGCAGGGTGCTTGCCGGCCCAGCCGCTCCCGGCCTGCTGGTGCAAATCTGGGTGCAAAGGTTTCCCTGTGTGGTTGTGTGTGTTTGGCACCACGTCCCCCGACTGGCAGGCTCTGACCCCGCTGTTCCTGGGCCATCGGCTACCATCGGGGACTCCCTGGACCCGGTTCTGCAGCCGGAGACCCGGGCCGCCGCGAGATGCTGCCTCGAGCCTGACAGGTACACGGGACTCGCCCTCACGGGCCCGGGGCTCACGGTCTCTGTCCACCTTCCTGCAGGACTGAGCCAGAAGCAGGGAGCGCGGCCGCCCTCCCAGGACAGGACCGTCCCGACACCCGAAACTGAGACGTGGTTCTTGTTCTGGAGAAGAAACTGCCTGTCGGAACTGTGTGTAACTGGGCGTGTTGCGACGTTCGTGCAGCTGTTACCAACGCCTGTCCCCAGACAGTCGTCATCGTCCTCCGTGGAAGCCTCGGCATGAGCTCGTCTCTCCCCCTTGTGCCCAGCTGCGCGCGGCTCCGTGCCGGACACCAGGCTCTGCCGACAGACAGCCGTGGCCGTGGTTGTGGCCCGTGGGCCTGCGAGTCAGGCACGCTTCCAGCCCCCAGCACGCTTCACTGGCCTCCACCTCCTGCCCCCTCTCGGGGTCACGCATTCTAGTCCTGGGTCCTTCCTGCGGGAGTCCCGGCCACTCTCACCAGGAACCCAACCTCAGGGTCTGGCCCCTGGGGGGTGTCCCTCTGCCAGCTTCTCCGGAGGAGTGACTTGGGGTCCCGGGCCCATCACCTGAGCGCCCCCAGCCCCCGACACCGTTCTAACCAGCGGAATGGGGCACAGGGCCCCCGGGGCGGACCCTGGAGGCTCCCACTCGCCCTCGCGCTGGCCGCATGGCCACACTCAGACGCATGTGGGGATGAGGACGCGGCTGGGACAAGCCTGTTCCGGCCCGTCCGAGCAGAAACCCTTCTCTTGGGCTTCATCGGAGGAGGCGGCTCTGGAAGCTCTTCCCATGGGTCACTAATGCGTCCCCTTCCCGCCGGCGTCACCCCGATGGCCACACTGGGACGCGACTGTCTCGGTGCTTCGTTATCTGGCACAAGGCCTGTGGGGCACGTCGGCCTGGGGGGACGCCGTGTTCGGAGCCAGCACAGCTCCGGGGAAGAGGACGACACCCGCTGGCCCCTTCTCCTGACGACACTCGTTCTACTTCCTGTTTGCAAACTGCAGATCTGGGGGAAAGTCAGTAAAGCCGGCGTCTGAGAAGCCACTGACCTCGGCACACGGGTGGCCGGAGCAGGCCGCGGGGAGCACAGGCCACCTGCTCCCGGCCCTGCAGCTGGAACCCGTGCCGGCAGGAGAACACGAGCACGCGCCGTCCAGTCTCTCCACAGAGCGTGACGTCCCCGTTGTCCACGCCGTCGGGAAGGCCACATGCGTCACCTGCACCAGACGGCGACAGACCCACCGGCGTTTGCTCCTGGTCCCCTCCCCATCTCCGCGGCCTCCAGTCTCAGGGACCCCACGTCCCCTGGGTCCGTCCAGGCTGCACACGATGGGCGGCAGCGGCCATGGGGGGAGCCTCCCCCTCCGCGTCAGTCCCTGCCCTGAGCCGACCCCTCTGGGCGCCGTCCTCGCCCAACACAGTGCTCGGCACCACGCGCCTTCCTCCTGCTCACAACCCTCAGGGCCTGCACCCCTCACCCCTCACCCACTCATCCCCTCACCCCTCACCCCTTCACCCCTCTCACCCCCTTTTTAACCCACCACCTCCTCCCCTCACCTCCCCATCTGCCTGCCTTCCTTCACCTCGCCCACTTTCTCGCCTTCCCCCACTTCCAGCCAGGGCCGTCTTCCTGCAGTCTAGTGGGCAATGGCTGCTCACACTGGGTGTGTCTCTGCGGACAGCGTCACGGAGGCCCGGCGGAAGCCCTGTGCCCCGACACCCACGTGCTCGTCCACACACCTGCCCGCCCCCACTCGGGGGTCCCGGCTGCGGTGCAGACGTGGGGCAGCTCGCCTCCCCCTTGGGCCTGCCTTGTGGCTTAAGACCCACATGCTACAACCTAATCGAAAAAGTGCTTCACCTCACCTTGAGGCGGGGGCTCCCTCCACACGTCCAGGTCCAGACCCGGAATGTTCTCGCACGCCTCAAAGTCCCGCGGGAATCTCCCGGTTAGGAAGGCATCAGCAGGCACGCTGGGGAGGCCCGTGTTGTCACAGATGACCCGGGACAGGGAATGTCTCGCCAGCTCGCGCCGCTGGGCCTCGGTGAACACCCCGCTGCTCTCCCACCAGAACCTGCACAGGAGAGGAGAGCCCGCGGCTGAGGGCACCTCCCATCGGGTCGGACAGCGTGTCCTGTGCTGTCGTCCGTGACCGAGTGCTCCCAGACCCCTCCCTCCGGACCCCTGGTCCGGGAATGAGGGCCTGGCTCCCTGACTCCCTTGGGGGCCTTCGCGGGACAGTGGCAGGGCCACGCCGACAGAAGGGCAGCAAACCCGCCCCGCGCTCGGACGCCGTCTCTGGGCCTGGGCCTCCTTCCTCGGTCAGCGCCCCTGCCCGACTCGGCAGACCTGTGAAAGAGCATGTGGAGGGGCTTTCTGGGCGTCACTACGTTCCGGCTGCTCAGGCACGAGACCCAGGCTCACGGCCCCACAGAGACAGCCGGGCTGCGTGAGGGCCCACGACAGCTGTGCTGGGGCCGGCATGGGCTGGGGGCCACGGACGTGCCCAGCTGAGGCACCTACCGGTCTCCGTCCCTCAGGGCCTTCATCTGTCTCCCGATGAGGCACGCGAACAGCGGACCCGTGCGCGCCTGGGGCAGGAAGGTCTCGGCCAGGCCGCCCAGCCAGACGTCGATGTTGTCGGGGTGCCCGTACAGGTCCATTATCCGGCCCGCGATGCTGGCGTTGGCCAGGGCGGTGCGCAGGTCGGCCCGCGTCTGCGGTCTGGGCAGGCCGCAGAACTCCCTCCACGCATTGTAGCCTGCAGAAACCACCCCACCACCTCGTGCCCAGCAGAACGGAATGTGCCGGAATGTTCCAGCACCACGGTCGGGTCTTACGGGAGAGCTTGCTCACAGACACAGTAGGGAGACACTGTATTGTTCAGTGGCCAGGATTTGACCTCCTGGGGCTTTGAGGGGGAGGCCAGAGCAGCACGTTTCCTGACCGACCACCCGGCTCCCCGGGTGGGTCCATGAGAGGGGCGTGTGCGGGTGCGCCCTGACCTGGAGCAGCGCCCCAGGCGACAGGCAGATCTGTACTCGTGGACCAGCCGGCAGGGGCCTTGCGCGGCTAGCAGAGCAGTCCAGACAGCTGAACCATGGGGGCCCCAGGAGGAAAGGCCACGGGGGCAGGGCGTGAGGGCTGGCCTCCAGGAGTGGTGGGGAGTGTTGGGACAGATGGAGGGGATCGGGTTGGACTGGGCACAGCAAGTGGGAGGAGGAGCGGGAACCGGCCTGAGAAGAAGGTTCCCGCTCCCAGAGTGGCCAAGGGATGGGACCACTGGTGAGAGACCGCCTCGGGGCCCAGGACTTTAGGGACATAATCCCGAAGCAGCTGGAGGAGTGTGCCGGCCTGGGGGCAGTGAGAGGGTCAGATGGGCGGGACAGCGGGTCGTCTAACTTCCCAATACGCGCCAGGCCAGACCACCACCTCTCCTGTTCGGGAACTGCTCCCGCCCCACCCCATGGTCCCTGTCCTCCAAGCAACACTGATCGGGCTCCCCGTGGACGGACCAGAGCTCTGGAAGGTGGCCGGGGATCAGAGACACGGCTGCTGATAGAAGAGGCTCTGAGGGGCCGCCCCGCAGCCCAGGCGGGAAGGGAGCAGGGAGGGGCAGGGAGGGCGCACCTGGCAGGCCGTGGTCCCGGCCCCGCTGCAGGTTGATGGACGCCAGGTCCAGCCCGCCCGAGCTGCCCAGCACGAACAGCCTCTCCGTCAGCTCCTCGTTCATCAGCGGCTCCGGCACCTGCCGCTTGGCTGGTCTCGCCAGGAGGCCCCTCACCAGGGGGTCCAAACCCCCTGGAAAACATCAGGGACAAGAGGCGGTCATCCCATGGGTCCTGGTGGAACTCTGCTTGTTCTTAATGGAAAACCCTTCAAGATCACGAATGTAGGGTCACGACTTCACTTTACGTGAGTCTGAGGATTTCTGAGTGCTGCTGGGGTTCTGCCGTGGGGGTGGGTGAGCACCTGTCTGGGTTCCCGGGGACTGACCAGCAGGCACGGGGGCAGGCCTCAGGTCCGAAGGGAACCCAGAGAAGGAGCGTGGCAGTCCTGAAGCCTCCGTGTTGTTTCCCGCTGTGGACGCCTGCAGGAGGCGGAAGCTGGAGTCTAACAGGCGGGGGGGCTGAACAGAGGGGGTTCGGTTGGGGCACCTGCTCCCCTCACCTCTAAGGACCAGCCTGCTCCACAGGACCCTTTATGGAGAAGCCCACCTCTCGGTTCCCTCCCACCCTGATCACATGGGTCCTTTATCATGACTGTCTGGCCTCTGGGGACCCCCAGAGCAAAAACAGGGGTGGCCCAGGGCCATGATAAACAAGGTCGGGGGGCGTGGTCCAGGGCAGCCAAGGGAGGGAGGCCGAGCCCTGGTGCGAAGGGAGACGCACCTTCCTTGAGGAGCCTCCAGGGACTGAAGAAGGCGTCCTGCAGCCGCAGCGGGGGGAGGCCCGGGGGCTCCTGGAAGTGGGCGTCCAGCCGCCTCACCAGGGGGTGCACGGTGGCGTGGCCAAAGCGGAAGGCAGCCGTGGAAAACACATTGGACACGGTGGGGTCCACGGCAGGGTCGTAGCCCTCATAAGGGCCCACGTACTTCAGGAAGGCCTCGGGGCCCAGGACTTTGGGGACATAATCCCGCATGGTGATGATCTAGGGAGAGAGGAAAAGAGGAGAGCATCTGAGCAGGGGAGACTGGCAGCAGGGCCCACGTTCCAGACTTGGGCCATGTCCAGTGACAGGGAAGGACTTTCTCCTGCACATCCACTGGGGCCAGAGTTGTCCCGGGAAGGACACGCCGTCAGGGTCAGGGAACAGGTGAGCAGGTGAATGGATCCCAGGAGCACCCTCACAGCTCTGAGACTTACGGGGCTTGGAGGGTATGTCAGCGACACCCCCGAACACCCCCAGGGCAGGGCAGGGCACGTAAAGCTTGGGGTGCACCACACAGGACTGGCTGCCACGCTGCACCCCTCCCCAACCTCCTCGCCCCCTTCACTGCGGGCACCAGCAACGCCTGAGCTCAGGAGTCGGGGATCCGGGCGCTTCAAGGAGCCTGAGCCGTGGAGGCCCAGGTCCCGACCCGGGAGTTCCAAGCCCCCCTGCCCTCCGACTCGGTGGCTGTGCGACTCTGGTGCGTGGGGAGCTTGGTGGCCGCTCTGATCTGGCTTCCTTTTCTGGAAAAGCCTTTTTCACGGAGTTTTTGTGAGAGTAGAAAACATACAGTTTTCTCTGTTGGGTCTGTTGTGTGGTCTCCGTACGGCAGATGGATTTGTTACCCGGTGGGTCCGTGCATGCTGAGGACCCTCCCCAGAAGCTGTGCGGAAACGCCCCCCATTGAAGGGCACCCACCCTCCGCCTGGCTCTGGAAGAAAGTCACGTTGGGATCCTACGCTGCTCCTTCTTCCCTGACACGCGTCTGCCAGCTCGTGAGCTCGCCACAACAGACAGGAAGGAAAGGGGCTGGCGGGGGTCTCACAGGAGCCCAGACCAGGCCTGGGTTTTGTGAACGAGGCCTTGTCCTGGTTTGGTCTCAGCCTGGAAGATACAGCGTGCTCTCTAAAGGGACAGAACGGGTGTGACCCACGGGCCGTAGCGAGCATCTTTCATGACGGCAGGACCCCGCAGTCTGCTGACGGGATCGGCTCTCTGTCGTCGCCCCGCCCTGCGCTAGGGCCTCCGAGTGACTTCTCAGAAAGGTGCTGGTCCATTTGTTCTGGTCCTTGGGAGTTCTGCGAGCCAGATGGTGGCCCTTTGAGGGACGGGGGTGGGGCTGTGGCCGCCCGGGAGGCTACTTGAGTCTAAGGCCCCCCGGGGCACAGATGTGGGCGGCCTGGGTCTCTGATTCCAGGGCCCATGCCTCCGAGGAGTCCCGTCAGTGGCAACAAGGGCACCCACCCTCGTCCTGGGGTTTCTGTTCAGTGCCCCCCGCAGGGTCAGGGACAAGGGCTCTGCTGGCAGGTTTACCAGTCATTCTTTCCTGTAAAAATCAGCATCAGATTCTTCCAGGATTAAAGGATTTGGGTCGATAAGTGGGTCCGATGAGGTAAAAGCCGACAGGACAGGCCTGTCGAGAACATCAAGGTCTTTGCTTGTAGCTTCTCTGCACAGCGGGTAAGCTGCTCCTTCTCCGGTCGCTGGAAGAAAGCTCCCACCTGCACCCTCAGAACAGGTCCCTTCCAAGCGGGACGTGTTTTCTGATTTGCGCTTCGCGGGCACAGCGCGGAGCGGCCGTGGAGCCTCCGAGCCGGCAGAACGGTGGACGCACAGAGCCCCGGGCTACCACGGAGCCCGCTTTCAGCTCAGGGGTCCGGAGGCTGGTCCAGTGCTCCTTGTCTGACAGGTCATCCCTGAGCTGGTTCAGGGATGAGTGAGAAGCACCTGGGCCACTGATGGGTATGGAGTAGGGACGACTTAGTCACGCAGAACCCGGCCCTCAGCCCAGACCCCAGACGTGTTCACAGCCTTCCCTGCATGGGAGCTCAGTGTGGCCCTTGCTGCCCAGCGTGGGCAGGGCTCCGCTTCTGCTTCTTGTCCCCACAAGGGAATGGCCTTCTTCTTCCCCGCCAGGAACACGAGACAGCTTTAAATTCCAGTGGAAGAGATTCCAATGACCTCTGCTTCCCTCTTCCCTTCTCTGAAGCTTGACGTGGGGTCCCAGGGGGCATAGGGCCCATTGTCTTGACCCACAGGGGCACCGGTGGAGACAGAGACCCTGGGGACACGCCCATATAGGGCTGTCTGTCCTCGGCAGGGGGGACCTGGGGGAATGAGCTGCCTAAGTTGGGGCAAATGCTTTAGTGGGGAGCACCATGGGGCTCTGTTGGACAGATTAGGGCTGTCGTGGGACTTTGTGGGTCAGGAGGCAGACAGCTTGCCTCTGCTTCGGGTGCGGGGAGGGGGACGGGAGCTAAAGCCAGGCCACGTGTCCCTGGGCCTGGCTGCTCAGAGCTGAGGCAGCGGCCGTGGGACCGGGCGTGCTCTCCATCTTCTGACCTGCCGATGTTTCTTTCAGCGACATGAGGCTTTCCAGGACGGGAGAGATCCAGGGCACAGAAGCAGGAAAGAGGACGGCCTTGCGAGAACCCCTCCGACGTAGCCCACCTCCCCGCAAGGGTTTGTCAACGCTAAACACAGCCTCTTGCCATTTTGAAGTTTCCGAGATATTTGCAAAAAACACCGAATAGGAGCTATTGACTGAAGAAACACTCCAGGGAATCTGAAAGTGAACAGTGAAGCTGAGAAATGTGGCTGGTCCTGGGCAGACGGGGGCGGGGCTCCTGCGGTGTGCGGGGACTGGGCTGTACACACACCCTCCGCACACACTCCCGAGCGTCCACTGTGCGCGTCCGGTCCAGCACACTGCCGTCAGGGGGACACAGCCGGGAGGACCCCACGGCGGGGGAGGGGTAAGACCCCCAACCGGGAACCCCGGGAGCCACCTTGCTGGAGTTCGGAGCGGGTCTGACAGGCCGTCTGAGACAGGGACCGGTTTCCCGTCCCCCAGCTCTACCGAACCCCATTCGCACGTCCGTGTGGTCCCCCCATTCCTGCTTCACCGGCTCTGTGCGTGCTCTCCTGGGACGCGAGGTCATGACCCACAGGGGCGCGTCCAGACTGTGGCGTGTGTCCCGGAAGCCCGCCCGCCCTTTCTGCATGCTGGGACCCCTTGTTCTGCTCTGACCCCGCCCCCACGCCCCCTGCACCCCCGGGCCCCGGGCCCTCGCACCTGGTGCAGGGCGCCCACCACCTTGCGCGCCTCCTGGTAGGCCGTGTGGGCGCTCCAGTGCGCGTTCAGAGCCTTGAGCGCCGAGGCCAGCCTGTTGTGCTCGCGCAGCCACAGCGTGTGCAGGGCCGTCAGAGCGGGCACCTCGCTGGCTCGGCTGTCCCCCGCCAGGAAGCAGGGCGCGGTGACCGTCCCGTGGGGGCCGGGCTCAGGCGCGCAGGCAGTGGGCCGTGCGAAGGGCAGGTAGGCGCGGCCGGCATCCCGGTGGCGCGTGTTGACCCGGAGCAGCCCCTCGGGGCTTGTCCAGTTGCGCAGCTGTTTCTCCAAGGCCGGGGAGCTGCCGTACACCGTGGACGCGTCCAGGAAAGACGTCAGCCCGTTCATCTGCTGTCGCGGGTTGGCCGAGCTCAGGTTCCCGAAGAAGGCGCCTTGCATCCCGGTGCCACAGGCAGCAGAGGATCGGTAGAACGGCAAACAGGAGCCGCCAGCGCTCCCCGAGGCGTTGCTGGGCAGCTGTGGGAAAGGGGAGAGGCCGTCACAGCCTCTGCAGGCACCCGGGAAGTTCCAGGCTGGCCACGGTCATCAGCCTGGGGGGCATCTCTGACCTGTCCACTCCTGTCCCTGCCCTCAGTCCTAGCGTGCCACGGGCTCCTGCTGGGGTCAGCGTGGTGAGAGGGGAAATGTGAACTGTATTTAGGGAGACCCGTTCTGCAGGACCCGCCATGTCCACTGCCCTCTAGCTCTGCAGCCCGACAGGCAGACACAGGGGCACCGCGGCTCACGTCCGGAGGCATGCTTTGCTTCGCTATTTGTGTCAGCATGAAAACAGCAAAGCTTGAAACCTAAATGCTCGTGAGCGAGCAAACGGGTTAACGCGTCACCGCGCAGACTTTAGAAGTCGAATGTCTGTCCACTTAACAATAGGGTGCGATGTCGGCTAATTACAACAGGTTCTGAACGACACACACAGCAGGGCCCGTCAGCTGTAAGGGTCAGAGCACGCACACATGTGCACACCCGTGCACACACACACACGCGCGTGCAAGCATGCGTGCACACACACACGAGGACAATTTCTGGACAAATGCACAAGATACTCCTCCCAGGTGTTACCTCCCCGCCCCCCACGCAGGACGAATGGGGAGGTGGACCTTCCCTTACACTCCCCTGTTTGATTTCTAGAATGACATCTGTTACTTTCATAGTAAATAGTCACACGGTTTAAAATTCTACCTGTATGGGAAAACATGGGTTTTGGTTTTCACACGTCAGCTGGCAGTCAGCTCCTCCCCCAAAAGCAGCTTTGCTGGTGCTCTGGGGGGTGAACGCAATGTCGTGGTCGATGTATTGTCCCCACGCCGCCAGGAGGTCAGAATACTGCTCGTCCTCAGTGACAGCCTCGTTGGGGACCTGAATGACTTGTCTTGTCACCTCCCGGACCTGTAAGAGAGACCAGCGTGTCATGTGAGATGGGTATCTGCAGAGAAGGAGGACACAGGGGAGACCGCGGGTCGGGGCGCCCGCTCACGGACGGGGAGCCATCGGTGTGATAAGGGCCATGATCCAGAGGGCGGGGCCAGGGGCGTGAGGCTGTTCTCAGGCCTCCACAGGTTTGCAGATGTGATTAGTGTCAGGACCTTGACACAGGGGCTCTTCTGAGGTTCCAAGTGGGTCCAATGCAATCACATGGTTCCTAAAATCTGAGAGCCTCTCCTGCTTGTCATCAGAGGGAATGTGGGCCTGGGGGCCCGGGAAGGGGATCCCCCACAGCCTTGCCCATGCCTGGTGGCAGCCCAGTGAGCCCCGCCTCTCCTTGGGAACTGGACGGTGGTGACGTGGAGTAGTTTGTGCAGGAGCCCAGCAGCCCACGTTAATGATGTCTGAGCACCAGTCGTTGCAAGTAGCCACGTGATTCTGGGAAACACGAGTTTACAGAATCCTTGTCCCTTCATGCTGAGCCCAGAGAGCCTTGGGGCATTGGGCAGGATGGGGAAGGTGTTACTATGTCTGTTAGGGACAAACGGAGGCCAAGAGCGTCCTACAGAAAGGGACAGGGGCGAGTGCAGCCGGGGGGCCCATGCCCTCCCCCGGGGCCCATGCCCTCCCCCGGGGCCCATGCCCTCCCCCGGGGCTCAGCCACCAGCTCCGACGCTGCTCCCAGCTCGAGGGGCACCGGTCGTCCTGCTTGGCGGCCGTCCGCGAGAACGGCCCAGGAAGCTGATCGTCTCAGATGTCATTTAGAAATCAAACGGGGGGATGTAAGTGAAAGGTCCACATCCCCATTTGTCCTACGTGGGAGCGGGGAGGTAACACCTGTGAGGAGTATCTTGTGCATTTGTCCAGAAAGTGTCCTTGTGCGTGTGTATGAGGCAGGGGTAGGGGACAGAGTACCGGTCCCCGAGCGTGCTCACACCGAACAGACTGTCACTATGGTTTTTCTGGAGAACTCCACTGTCATACGTAGTATAAGACCAAGCAGACTGATTTATCACGAAAGCAAATAGGCAAATTGAGAGCAAAATGTCCACTTTTTAGCCAAATTGATCAGTGGCTTGTATATGAGATTTCTTAGCAAGTAATTTGCCTCTGGGCGTAAAGCAGCAGCCATCATTTTGCATAAATGAGTGAATTACTTAACTTTTAAGTATCTTTGGTTAGACTTCCTCTTCTGCCTACGGGTAAAGGAACTTACATCAAAACGCCAAAATAAGGGGCGCTTGGGTGCCTCAGTGATCAGGCAACCGAGCCTCGGTTTCAGCTCAGGTCGTGATCTCAGGGTTGTGTTGTCAAAGGCCATGCTGGGCTCCGGGACCAGCGGGGAGTCTGCATGGGATCCTCTCCCTCTACTCTTCCCCCCAGAATGAGTAAATCTTTAACAAAAACAAACCCCCAAATACTGAAATGACTGTGAAGAGCCGAGAGTCAGCTGAGCCTTAATCTAAGTCTGCCTTGTCCCTGTCACTGCTGGTGACGCTCATCTCTCCGCCCCTCAGCCCCCGAGGCGGGGAGCTGGGCACAAAGCCCTGGGCGCAGGCCTGTGGGGACGGAGAGCACGGGGCTCTGAGCCTACTGCCCGGAGCCTGGGCGCAGCCGCGGGCGTCCTCCCGGGTGGGGGCAGTCTGGCAGCGTCGCAGGGACCAAGTCCCGGGGTGGGGGGACACCTACCGGGGGCAGCGGGAAGCCACCATACAGGAGGTGGGGGTTCCAGCCCCGGGGCTCACTGATGCCATCTTCGTAGGCGGGCGGCAGCCACCTCGCCAGCGCCGTGTTGGACGCTCCCCACCGGGGGTGGTCTCTGCGGAAACAGACGTGAGACTTTCAACCGCAAGAGCCTCCATTTGGGAAAAAATAGAATGGGAATAGCCGTTTAAAGAGCAAAAAGAAATGAGAATCTTCTGTTGGGGATTTTTTAATGGATAATTTGGGCATAAAATCCTGACGGTGTCCGTGTTCCGTTGGCATTTGTGCGCCGCGTCCCTGTGGGCGCTGGCTGTGGGGTCTGCACGATCGCTGCAGGGTCTTTGGGGAGTGGGTGAGGCCGGAGTGAGGCTTGCCGTGGACAAGCGTCCGAGTTGGAAAAGGTCGGGTCTAGACTCTCCAGCAAGCCCCACACACCCCTCGTGTCGGGTCTAGACTCTCCAGCAAGCCCCCCCACACCCCTCGTGTCGGGTCTAGACTCTCCAGCAGGCCCCCCACACCCCTCGTGTCGGGTCTAGACTCTCCAGCA